AACACGGGCCACCGAAGCTCATCGGGGCGCCAGCTTGGATGCCCCCCCAAGCCTCTGTGTTCCCTGGACACTGACAGAGCGGGAGCTGTAAATCACACCCAGATCCCATTTATCTGCTTAAGGAGCCGACCTCCTCAATAACCCTATCATTGTAACTGGAAAGCCAGGTTATCTTGTACTGATCACAGCATGCTGAAGTCTTGCTTGGCCCCCAGTGTTCCGGGGCTGCATTTTTGGCAGACCGAGAATGTTACCGGACTTTGCGCAATAGCCCCAACCAGGAGAACCCATCCCCTCCTGCCCCGCTGACACCTCGGCCTCAGCAGAGGAACCTCAGATGGCGCAGGGCGACCACGGGCGACGTCTGAGGCAGGCTGGGAGTGGGGAGTGGCGGGCACATTCCAGGGGCCCTCGCATGCTCCGCTGGCCACGGAGAGGGGCACTGCTGGAGGAAACCTCAACCCACCAGAAACTCCGCCGGAGAGGGGAGAGGAGAGCAGATGGATCGCAGGGGACAAGGAGAGCCCAGCTCAAATAAAAAGCCATGCGTGTGCAGAGGCGAGGCAATACAACCTCACTGGGCTGCACCGAGCCACAGGGCTCCTTTTGCAAGCCACGGGGCAAGTTGAGAAGCATAAAATCCCACCTACATACACAGGAAGGCTCCTTCTCTTGCAAGAAATAAACGGCACAAGTTCCAACATTTTACTCGTGCAACGCCGCCCCTCTGCAATGCAGTACATGGAGGCAGGGGCCCAGCTGGAAGCACCCGTGGGGGCAAGCATCCCTCCGCACAGGACGGAGAGGTCACAAGCCTGGGATTTCCTACACCAGCGGCCGGTGGTTTGAGAGACCCGGGCGGATCCGCCCAAGCGGGGAGCCGAGAGCCTGGGCACCGGATCTTCCCCCTGCTGCCCAGGGGAACACCCAGAATTTGAATGACAGAGGTCTCGGACCTGAAGAGTCTGGAAAAGAGCTGAGGTCTGTCTCCAGCATGGACATTATCAGTGGCTGTCTGCAGAAGGCCCGACCTAAACGAAGACTAATTATTACTTACACAGAGCTGGAGCTACCTCATGTAACCTTTCTTGGATGAACAGCAGTCCATTAGCCTCTTATGTTTTTAATTACATCCAGAGGTTTGGGAACACTTGGCTGAACTCCACGCTATGAAGGAGGATGCAGGACGGCGATCCACCAAAAGATCATCATAGAATCATGGACTGCTTTGGGTTGGAAGGGACCTGTAGAGGCCATCCAGTCCAATCCCCCTGCAGGAGCAGGGACACCTTTAACCAGATCAGGTTGCCCACAGCCCCGTCCAACCTGGCCTGAAATGTTCCCAGGGACGGGGCCTCCACCACTTCTCTGGGCAACCCCTGCCAGTGTTTCACCACCCTCATTGTAAGGAATTTCTTCCTTAGATCCAGTCTAAACCTACCCTGGTTTAGTTTAAAACCATCACCCCTTGTCCTGTCACAGCTGGCCCTGCTAAAAAGTTTATCCCCATCTTCCCTATAGGCTCCCTTTAAGCCCTGAACAGCTGCAATGAGGTCTGCCAGCAGCCTTCTCTTCTCCAGGCTGAACAACCCCAACTCTCCCAGCCTGGCCTCGTAGCAGAGGTGCTCCAGCCCTCGGATCATTTTTGTAGCCCTCCTTTGGCCCCGCTCCATCAGCTGCCCCACAGAACACACTTGGGGCAGGACCTTATCAGAATAAACGTGAAGAAATTCAAGACAACTTAAGCCTCAACGCAAGGAAAGGACTAATTGTTGCCTCCACTGTGGGATGCTAATGAGCTTCAGGAAGCGCGGTCCTTCAGCCTAGAGGTTCACACTCTGTGGGAGATAGGAAGGATTCACATCCCTGTTCCCCAAAGACCTTCCCTCCTCCCAGCTGCCCTGGGGGAAGGAGGTGGCAGCAGACCACCCTCTCCTCCACTTACTCTGCCAGAGGAGTGACTTTCCTTGGGTTTGAAAAAAAACCCACCCAGATTTAAATGCCCAGGTCCTGTTTAGCGTTGGCACCTGATTCTGGGCTACAGAAAAGTGCCAAAATCTTGGAGAAAAATAAGGCTTAAACACAAGCTTTTGCTTCAGCTCTGGTGGCCGGTGACCCCATATGATGGGCAAAGCTTTTTTTAAATGCTATGGGTTCCATGAGGAACCCAGACAGCTAAAATCTACATCGTGTATTACTCCTCCAGGGAGTCCAGTGCTGACCTTTCTCACAGGCGCTGGTCCTTGAACCCTTTAACCACAGAGGGCGGCTCCGATCAGACACTTGCCAATTGTCACTACCACGACTGACCTGTTCCCAAAATGCTCAACAGCAGAAATATCAGAGCATAGAAAAGGGCCGAAGTAACTCTAACGGCACCTGGAAAACGGGAGGGAGAGGCCGGGGGAAGGCAGAGGGAAGTAGGAAGGAGCTGCACATCACGGAGAGACGACACAGATATGGTCTACTGAATGCGCGAAGCCAACACTGGAAATGCCGTGAAACAGGCGGCGTGGGTTGTTCCTGGATGTAAGTACAAGTTTCTCCGAGACAGGAGGAACGGGGACAGCTAACAGGGGTCCAGCCTGGCTTCAGTTGCCTCAGTAGGAAACGAGGGACGTGGAAACACCGAAAGATCTGACAGCAAGGCCAAGGTCAGGAAAGAGCCTGTACTGAAACAGTTATCCCTTCGCCTTACGTGGAGCAAAGGAATTTCCCCTCTACATTTGAGCTCTGTTGATTAACATAACTAGCTGCTTGCAATTCCCTTTACCTTATAAAACTGCCCCTATCTTATCACTGATACAGCGATAAGTCCTCTGGGACTGAACATGCTCAAGTGCCTTTCTCCAAATGCCTTGGGATGCTGGAAGAAACGATTTCTGTGCTTACCGACCTCAAGGCAGTTTCCTCTTTATCGGTGCTACTAAGTAAAAGTTGACTGTTTTGAGTGTTCTCTGCTTTCTACTTGCTACGGCCTAACGCAGATTTCACGCACCCTCTCCACGTTTTCTGTCTGCATAAAGGCTTCAGCCCACCTCATAAAGAAGACTCATTAAAGCACTGCGGAGGGCATCGCTCTTTTGAAGCTCCTGAACTTCCACAGTTCCCAGATGGTGCCTGGCCCATGGCTATCCTGGGTGGCAAGAGCCTGGGCCCCCCACTTTTGGGGGGGGACAAAGGGCAGAGCAAGAGGAGGGGACCCCAAGTTGGGGGGGAACCCGGGGCTGTGCTAGCAGGATGCCAGGCTGGCTGGCGGCTCCCCGGGCTGCAGGGGGGCGACTGGTTGAACCCTCTGCAGATGCTGCCATGCCCCTGCCCTGCAGGAGGGGTCCTGCAGCAAAGGGGTCATCACCCCCCGGGGAAGGGAGCGCACCCCCGCGCCAGCCGGCCCCCCCTTACCTCCATCTCCCGCTGCTGGGCGGCACGGAGGAGCGGCAGATTGTGGGGCCTGCAGCACTGCTGGGCCTCCTTGTGCCGGTGGAAGAGCTCCTGCTTCAGCCCTGCCACCGGGACGGGGACGGGCAGGGGGTCAGGGCACGCC